TTAATTTCTTCAATTGTATTTTCTTTTATTATAATATGTAGAGTATTTTGATCTGTACCATTATCTTTATTAAATAAATCATATATAAATTGTTGATGATATTGAAAAAAATCTTCAAATATTTCTTTATTATGAAATATTAATTGAATACATTGAAGTTCAATTGTTAAACATTGATTATTTTCTTCAAATTTTATATTTTCATATTCAATTAATGTTTGAATTGTACATTGTAAACATTCAGAATAATAATGAAGTATATCTAAATCATAATTTGTAACTTCTTGAATAAAACATTCGTTTATTGATTGATTATTAATAAATTCGAGACAATCACAATGAATATATGAAAAACAAAGAAGAAAAAGAAAAAATTTCATTAAAATTTACGCATGTAAAAAAAAAAAAATCAGCGCGTTTTTGATTATTTTAAGACATTAGAGTACCTAAGTATTTGAAAATCAAATATGTCAAGTTGATTAATTGTGAAAATACTTTCTATCAAGGATGTCACATATATGTCATGTATTTAATCAATTATTTTATAGACGCTGAGACAATCAACTAATCTTATAACATTTCGAGAATAACAGTTCAGAAAAACAAACCGTTCTAGACTTTTTTTAGTGCACCCGGAACATTATTGAACTCATCCAAGAAAGTTGTAGACTCGAAAGATGGTTAACTTAGAAATTAATCAGATTTTAGAAGCAAAAAAAAAACACCATATGATTGACTTCATTTGAGACAATCGCTTTCGTTTTTACTACTGTTTATGGAAAAAACTAAATAACTAGTATACTTTTTTCAAAAATCGTACTGTAACTAAGAAAGTATCTGCCAGATGTTGATTAGCTCCGGTTGTGAAAAGTCATACACATACAGGACACTACGAAGAATAAGAAAGCAAACAGTGAAAATGATTTTTCATTTTCTACCACTTCGAATATTCTTCTATTAAAATAATCTCAGAAAACAGGCATCCTAAACTCAATATTGATGCGAATAATATCTTTATATTACAATAAAAAAAAGTGATTCAATTAATTGATTGATTTACATCATATTTATTCAATCCAATTTTCTTATCATCATTTCTTACTTTCATATTGACTATTA